ACCCTGTGCCTTAGAAAGGAAGCTGAATTATACAGGAGATCAAGAACTGAACTTTCCTTTTGTTCTTGTAGGAATTTGTGTAGAGGAAAATGGCATGTGCAGGCTAGGGCATGCATTAATATCTTGAATATATAGCTGAAATTGGTTTTGTAAAGGTAACTCTAATAGAGTATATTTTAGGTAATCACGCAGTAGGTAAGAACGCATCATGTTTGTTGCTACACGGTAGGAATAAGTAAGTGTCACAGCTGGATAGATATGTTAACAGCAGCAGTTGGGGCCCTGTTGACGACCAGGGAGTCCAAAGGAGGCTGCCAGCCTTTTTACTCTATTTTTCCTGAAAGGTCTTTGCAGAAAGGGGACAAGGGATGAGAGAGCACTTGGGACTCCTACACAGGACAGCTGTGTAAATAAAGCCTTTCTTGCAAGTGATGGGCCTCAGTGCTACCAAAACTATTCTGTTTTCTAGGTAATTGCGTGATTCTAGTTATGCTTTCAGGCTGGGATTCTGTTTTGTTATTTTTTGGAGTAGGAGTTGAGATCTGATCAGCAGACATGGTTGAACTTTTGATAAGTCATTGATGATTACCATCTTTGCCTGTAAATTATTTTCTTTTTCTTCTTATACCAAGTAGAGATCCTCGTATCTAGTTGTTATGTTAGAACAGGTGAAGAGGGTTTGCTTGACAAGTTGACACTGCTTTGCTCTGTAAAGGAAGGGTTTCATAATGAAATAGTTACTGAATTAAGCAGTGCTTCCCACGTCTCATGTTTTGTGCTTGATCTGTTCTGTTTTCGGTAGTTTTTCATTGTTTTGGCATGGCGCTGATAATAAACTGGGAAATCAAAGACTCTATAATCACTTGGCACTACTTAAAATGGCACGATTCTCTCTTCTAAGCTGTTATAGGGTGTAATATATTGTAGGTATTGAATTTTTATGATTAATAGCTCTTTGTCTCCCTCTTGGCTCAGTCAGTTGAGGTGGAGGTGCACATGTGTGCGTCTGCGCGTCATGCTGGTGCCTGCTCTGTAAGGAGAAGTTTGCTTGTTTTCCCTTAAAAGAGGGACTTAGCCTATTTTATAACATGCCTCGGTACTGATACTACGTAGTTTGGAAAAAGGTGATGTGCAACTGTGACGACAGCTCTGCAGGCACACACTGAATGCAGGCAGACTTGGAGCTCCACGCCAAGCCTTGCATCTCAGTTGAGGGGTCTTTCTTCCTAGCTCTGGGTCCAAGAGAGGAGGGAGAAGGAGGGGTACGGGTGGGCAGCAGAAGGGTTGGAACAGAGGGATCCCAAATTCTGTCTCCCTCTTTGAAGGAGGGGAAACCTGCTTTTCGGGAAGTGGGAACATAGTGTTGTGTGATGGGAGTATGAAGCTTGGCCACTTTATGGTAACAAGTACTACGTCCTGCTTTTGGTATCGAAAAGGCTGTGAAGAGGAATGTCCTGAAAAGAAGTCACATGGTCAGCTTTTAATTTTGAAAGACATTCTGTTATCTTCCCCATGGCCTTGTTACAGGAAGGGAGGAAAAAAGTAAAAAGGTGAATGTGCCATCAGACATGCTGGAATACTGGATCGTGCTTCAGCGCTGCGTACAGTGCTGCCTGCTACTTCCCAAGCGGATCCCTTACATTTTGCATTTCATCAGTTATGCATTTTTAAGGTTGCAGCCTCCAAAAAAGTTGTGAAGGAGTCAAATGTGGGGCTAATCCTTTAGAGACTCTTCTTGAGTTACTTGTGAAAGAAGCAGATGTTGCCAATGTCTCTTACTCATCTTTTTTCTGGCCTTTTTTTGTTGCCTTTCCCCCCCCCCCCTTTTTTCTGCCTGTCTCTCCAGCTGACTTTCGGGCGGGGTAGAAGTTTAAGGTTTGGCACTAGAAGGAAGTTGATGATGTGGCATGAAAAGAAAACACGATGTACTCCTTGCATTGTAAGATAAACACTGCTATCAGCTCCTACTTCAGCGCTGTTCAACCTCTGTTCATCCAAATTTCTGCTTGGAGCTGTGTTAGAAGTCCCAGGGCTCGGTTTTCCTGCGTGGGAGAAGAGTTGGGCCTCCCTGTCCTCGCGGTGGTGCTCGTGGTCAGTCTCCAAAAAGATGTGAGCCCAGCGGCTGGTCGCAGCACCGACGGGTTGTCACCATCTCCTGAGGAACAGGGTTAACTGTGTCCATATCCCCAGGAGTGGATTAGGTTTAAAAATCCGTGGGTTTATTTTACTTCCCCCGCCACTGTGTTATTAATTTAATTGCTCTTCGGTTTCTGAAGAACTTTGGAGGGGGCGGGGAGGGGGTGGAAAGATCTATTTTAAACTGCTCTTTTCTTTAATTCATGTCTTGTTCGTGATGTATTTTTACCAGCGGCACTTTGCAATCCAACTGCCACTTCTAAGTGTCATTTACTTGAATTAAAAAATGTAATTACACTTCTAAGCACTGAAAGTAGTCACTGAATCAAGAAGCGCTGTTTGAACAGCAGCTGTCCTGTGACGGGAGGGAAGGTTTATGAAGTCCAGGGTATGCTGTAATACAAGTGTAGCAAAAAAACTCAAAATCACTTGTTTGCAGGTTTTCCCATCTCCCATTAGGCTTTTTATTAGGGAAATACCTACTTATAAATCCCCTATATTAAATAAAAATGGATGAACAATATTCGATTACCTCATGTTCTCTCACATTGATTTGTGGTTTCGATTGAAACCAGTAAGCCTGTGCTTCCCAGCGCTCCTTGAAGAATAGTTGCCCAGGCACCTGTTAACCATCTGCCTTGAAAGGGGGTTTGTTGGACTCCAGTACGTTTTTTGCAGGATTAATACCATCAAAAGCTTTTTCAAAAGATTGTTTGATTCAACTTAAAAGCTGATGCAAACCTCTCATCTTTTTGCCCGTAAAAGAGGTAAAGGAAGAAATTTTGCATTCACATGTATTTCTGGTACTCAATAAAGCAAAGTATGTCATTTGAACAGATGGACCAGCTCTCACTTTTTATAGTCCCAGTTTGTTCAAAATCAAAAGAGGGACCAGTCATTTTAAGTAATGAAATGGAAGTCTGCTGCATCTTCCTTTCGATACCGTATGTTTAAATTGCTGTTAACGAATGCCGTTTGAATCATCGTTGGTTTTCATACAACAGTGTGACAATATAAATCCAGAATACCCATTGATCCATCGGCTGAACGCATTTGTAAGCCTTCAGGTTCCATTCTAGTTAGCAGAAGGTTCAGTCATTTACAGTCCGCTGAGGTTTTTTTTCAATGCTGATGCCTTTATCCTAAAGAAGAGAGAGAAAAAATTGCGGTGGCTTGAGTCTGCCAGACTGTTGTTGGTTACTAATTCTCAGTTGTTGTTCTCTAGGTAGCAGTTTGGGTGCTTACTAAGAATGTGCCTGTTGGTGTCCATCAGCAGTAAGTGTGTGCGTGTGTGCTGTTAAGTGGGAGTGTCCCGGTGTTTCCATGAGCTATGCCATTTTCGAATCTTACAGCTGATGTTTTGCTGTCTGTTACTTGACATCAGTAATAAATGCTTCCTGCAGCTGCAGATTTTTGGTCTTTTTGGTTGCGCATGAATGCGTGTCTTGCTTTTTCCTACTCGGCCTGTGCAGGCGTAACCCCCGGTCGTGCCAGGTACGCACACGTTAGTGCAGCACACGAGTAGAAGCTGACAGAAGACCTGTCCATCGTCTTGTACGAAAAGTGTTCACAGCAGTACGGGTTTTGTGTAAATGGGAACTAGCACCCCAAAAAATTCTCCGATTACCTCTTTAAAGTTTATTAACACCTTTTCATTTACAGCTCTTAACCTGCCTTTTGTTCATGGGAGAGACAAGGTCTGGGTCTTGCCTCCGGACAGCTTGCATATGACATCCTGTAATAAAACTTCTTTAAACAACAGAATATTGGAAAAGGCCAAATATCAGCAGCACTCTGTATATATGCAACAGTGCTTGTAAAAATGTATGCGTAGCTGTTTATCTCGTTGCCAAGGTAGGGATTCACGTGTACCTCTTCGACTGGATAGTTGTCCACAGTGCATGGGCTTAAGTTCCTTGGAAAACTTAAGCCCCTCTTAAATTTCCTGTTAAAGCCAGGAGGGGCAGAAGTTCAACTGACATAAAACTATGCTGAATGAGTAATTCCCTTTGTGGACTCTCTGGAGAAGGATCTTTTCAGCCTTCTCTGGGGATGCCTTTATAAAAAGTTGAGTTCTCTTAAAGTTTTGTACTAAATCAATAAATAAGTTAATAATAGAGCAGCTGTTGATCATAAACTCTGGGAATTTCCTATACTCAAATTTCAGCCAGAGGATAAATTTCTCACTTAGGGAGCAGATACTGCCTTTGTCAACTATTCAGTCTCCAGGCCCTCTCTCAATTCTAGGTCTTCTTATCGACAAAAGACAACGAAAACCTTCCCTAACCCTGCCTGTAATGCCAAGAGAGCGACAGAAACGTGTCCTGGTTTATGTCTGTGAAGAACAGTGAGAGCGTGCCCCCTTTGTGATGATCTCCTGAGCTTTCTACCAAATCCCTGGGGAGGAGCTTTCTCCGGAGTTTTAAGTTGACCCTAAACTTACCCAAATTGAGGCAGGAATATTCCTTTAATTGACTTAGTGACAAAGTAATGACGGTAGAGGTCTCTGGATCAGCACATCCTGAAACAAAAAAAATTTCTTTTTTTGTTATTGAACAGTTGCTTTGATATCAGTCTTTCTGTGACTCCATTGTAACTGTATATCTAGCCTTCACTGTGTGGAGGAGAGCTTGGAAATGTGAACCACGTGCACCCAAAACCCTAGAAACTTGAAAAACTAAGTATATAAAGTATATATATTAAGTCTATAAAAATATACTTGCCTTTTACATTTCACGTTTTGTGGTTCATTTGGAGTGGTATCGTACTTGGATGATTTTTCTTTTTGTAAGAAAACAAACAGAAACAAGTATTGCAAAACAGTGACAAGATTTTTTTCCTCTCTCTTTTTATCCCTATTTTAGGAAGGCATGAGGTGCGGTCCTGGACAACAGCCACCAAGCGATCCTTGTGTCTCATGTGGCAAAAAGTGAAAGTGCAGCTAATGCTAAGAATGTCTTTCCTCGTCACTATTTTTTGGTATTGCAGAAGGCTATACAGCTTTTTAGCACAGCTACTGAAATGGTAGGTTTTTATTATGCAGGCTTTAATCTTCCATGCTGTTGCTTATTTCAGTAAATACTGACCCTTGACAACTCCTTTTTGACACCTGTTTTATCATTTGGATTTCAGGTGGAGCAACTACCTTCAGAGAAAACTCATAAGTAATCTTTTTATCATTCCCTATTCATTAACCGCCCCCCCCTCCTGCCCCCCCGCCCCGCAGCTACCCTTTAGATGCAGAACAGCAGAAGGTAACTAATCTGTGAATTAATCTCGATTTAGGGAATCTCAGTGTGCTGACAGAAGTTGACCTACTTGGTTATAGTGCGAGAGAATGGAAAGGGGAAACAAAGCCAGCCAAACACATGAGGGAGGTAAGAGTTAAATTTTAATCTCTGAATGAGGAAGGGGAGGGGGGAGAAGAAGTACCTGGGAGAGGAGTAGCACTCCCAGTGCAACAAGCTGCCGCAGCTACCAGAGCCTGCTTCGCCAGCTGCCTAACGGAAAAGCAGAAGGGACAGCATGAACGTGGGTCTAAAGAAAGACTGCAGTAGAGCAGGTCAAAACGTAGATTGGATTTTAGTCATGCGTCTTCTCCAAATTCCCCCCTGTAGCACTGATGACCCATGCGGTGGCTTTAACAGGAAAAATCATCCCCAGTGCTACAGCCCAAATAACTTGGTCTTAGGCGCTGTCTCTTGGCCAGCCTTTGATTTAAGGTAAAAACTCTCATTCCAGGGAGGAATGAAACACACCCATTTCTCTGAAGGTCCATGTGACAGCAGCCAGTGCTTGGCACCCTCCCCAGCAGCTGCCACGGCCCCCTGTCCGGCTGCATCAGCTGCAGCTGGGGGCAGGCAGGGCAAGAGCTCACATCTGACCTGTGCCAGGTTAGGTCCGTGCTCAGCAGGCAAGGACCAGCATGCTGGATGGCGGCCATCCCCTGTCTTCGTGCAGTGTTCGTCTGCTCCAGCTCCGCGCCCTTGGCCGTGCGGCGCTGCCGGGGCGCTCCCTGGCCGAGACGCTTCTGTGCCGGCATCTTCCCCTGCGCAAGGCGCTGCAAGCAGGACACAGGCAGGTTAATTACACCCGGCAACTCCTGCTGCCTCATACCACACATAGCTAGGACTAACAAGCTACTAATCTCACAGTTAATGTCCTCGTCATCCTCAGCACCCCCATCAGCCGCTGAGGGGTGGCTGGAGACAGCCCTGGGCTGTGTGGGGAGGTGGCAGCCGCCTCTGCTTGTGGTCATCAGCTAATGCTTGGTGCTGCTCTTTTCTGATTATCTTTTTTTTTTTTTCCTTCTATGGTTTTTATTCCTTTTCATGTAAGGCATTTTTTGTGGGGTTTTTTTCCTTCTCTTTTTTTTCCCTCTTGTATCTTTGAGCTGCTAGCTGCGACTATCTTAATAATTATACTTCTCCCTGGATTTTTTTTCTCTTACTTTGCATCATTTTAGCTGAAATAGTTTTTTGCAGCTTAGTAAGTGTTCTTCATAACTGTGAGTCAAGGTGACAGAGTTGTGCTGCACTGAACTGGGCATTGGGTCATGGATAGCTGAACTCCTGAGCCAAGGACCTCCTAAATTCATGGTTCACCAACACTAGATACACCGTTTTCTATCAGCTCACCAACGTGTTTTTCAGTTCTGTACATTGTGTGTATGTGCTTACACCCGATAGGCAGAAATGGCAGCTGCACTTCCCACAAAAGACATCTGTTATTGCACATGCAATGGGCTGTTGGCAGCTACATCTTGGTGGCCGTTAATGGAGGCAGCGTGGCAGGGGGCATGGCGGGAGCAGTGATGCCCTCTGCAGGGCCCTGACCAGTGCTTGAAGTTGGAGCAGCACTACAGTACGCTAACTTGTGAGAGGGATGGGTCTCGGGAGCAAAGAAGAGCAAACACGTGTTTTATGGCTCTCTGTTTCAGCTGTGTTAAGCCTTAGTCACCAAGGTAGGCTCAAAGACCGTGGGCTGGATTTTTACTTTTCCCACAAAACTTATAGCTAAAGTAGCTATACCAGTGGTAGAGTACTAGTATCTGTTAAGCTTAGAGTCAAATCCAGTGACTCAGCTAACTGTGACGTTATATCCTCCTATCCTCATGGTGTGGCATTTCAGACCAGCACAGGACAAATGTAGCACTGGGTCCATATTTCTGATTATCTGATGATGGTGGGAACACTGACCATGAGATGCTGAGAGAGATCAAAAAGGCAGAGGGGGCAGGAGATGCAGTAGTAATGAGAGACACCAACTAGCCATCTGCACTGGCAGCAGCTGTGGGGTTGAATGCCAAGGTGCTCCAATGACTGTTTCATGGATCAGCTTTTCAGGGAGCCTTTAGGAAAGGAAGCAACCCTTGCCACAGGGATCTGCCTCAAAATGTCACTTTCTAATTTCTGTTGCTGTTCTCTGGAACAGGAGACAGCACACACTTGCATTCAACATCCTTGCAAGAACAACAAAGCAAAAAAAATTATTACAATTGCATCCACCTTCAGAAAGGGAAACTACCTAAAAACAAGGAAGTATGTTAAAAAGAAGCTAAAAGGCAGCTAAGAGTCTTGAGTATTTATGGTCAGTGTATTTGACATATATATAGCTTTAGGTCATGGTATTGGAATCACAGAGCAAATGCATAACAAGAAGGACTTAAGAAAGGGTAAAATGAAGCTGATAAGGCTAAACAGCAGCATAAGGAAGTTATGAGAAAAAAGAAGATATCTTTCAAAAAGCTGGAATTGCGTCCACATGATGAACAGATACACTTTTTCAATTAAGTGTAGTTCAAAGAGTTTGAAAAACTCCTCTTTAAGAAGTTAACAAAGGATCCAACTCTGCCAGATTAAATGCAGGAACACAGCAATACCAAAAGTGCCCAGAACAACACACAACAAGGCCAATAGTGATTTGAGGAACAAGTAACAAAAGATAGCAAAACTTTTAATACATTTGCAAAAACATACTGGGCAACAAGCCTTTCAGAAAATCCATGAGCCTTCTAGGTGATCAGAGCTGAAAAGGAGACTCCTTTATATAGAGCAGCCAGTGGATGGCTGGTTACATCACGTAGAAGTTATGACAGTAAGGAGCACATTTTAGGATGAGGTCTCATGAGATCCTGAACCAGCCTAACCTGCTTGCAGTCCCCAAAAGGGGCAGTCCCTTGCTTGTCTTGACTCTTCCTTTCTCACCTCATTCTAGCTGAGCAGTCCCTCTCCTTCTTTTGTGCTCGCTCTTACGTCTTCTGTTGTATGTAGTTCACGAAGATGGTGAGCTGATAGAGCTGGTCATCCTGAAGGACCCTTGTCTGAGCCACCTGAGCTTGCTGAAGCAGCAGGAAGCTCCCCTAGCAGGATTAATTCAGTAGGCTTACTATCACAGCCAATGCAAAGTGAGGGTAGTGGTGAGAAGTAGCAGCTGAGAAGTGGCGTTGGGATGGGGTGAGGGAGCAACCGAGATGAAAGAGGACCAGGAACTGGGACCGTCTTCCTGCCCCCTTCAGGAAGCAAACTGTGAGACCGATGCAGCAGCCTGTGGAACTGTAGAGTCCTCTTTCTAATTCTCTGCTAGTTTAGTGATCTGAATTGTCTCACCAAGGGCTCAGATGAGAGCCAGAGGTAATGCAGAGGAAGTACGGGGAGCGTGTAGCTGGAAGAAGGGCTATCCACTTCAGCACAGAGCTGCCAAATCTGCTTAGGTCACCATTGCACGATGGATTCAGGTCAGTGCAAGATAATGTTTCTGCCAAAAGGAGTTTTCTCCAGACGCCTGTTCTTGCCCTTTGGCTGCTCCATCCCATGTGTTGGCACATGTTGTGAAGTGGTCGGGGTTAAAGCTATTATGGCAAAGAAGTCTTCACTGTCCTGCTTTGGTTGACCATGTGAATGTTTACACTAGCAACAGTGCAGAGACTGGAGGAAGTCACTGGGTTTGGAGAGAGTGCAAAATCACTCTTAAGGGGCAGTGCCAGCGTAAGGAGTTTACAAAACCTATGAAGTTAGAACATTTTTGTGTA